ATTAACATCTCATCTCCTTTCTCATTGCTGAGTCCACTTAAACTTTTAGTCAGTTAACTTTATACTCTTTACCTCCCTGCCTATATCTGCAGCCTGCTTCACAGAATCACAGAATCGTAGGGGTTGGAAGGGACCTCCAGAGATCATCGAGTCCAACCCCCTTCCTCCAACCTGTTTATATGGTGATATTACACAGCATATTGACATCTTCTCAACTCCATGTTCTCCTCTATTTCTTCACTTGCAAGGCATCCCAGGAAGAGCATTTGTAAGACCTCCATCAGGTCTGGTTTTCTGTTCCTCCTCCAAACTCAGGGATGTTATTGATATCCACAAGATGCTGATTAATTTGTTGGTTTTTTTTTTCTTCTGGCAATGTATCCATCCCACAAAATTTAGTGAGAAAGTTTATTTCTGATAGAAAGACAAAGAAATTTGGCTCACAACCTAGATATTTCTGTAGGTTGAAAAATACCCATATTTTCAATCTGAAACCACAAGTTTGACATCTAATATGACAAGCAGTCATTGGAAAACCTGTTTTCTGTTTTGTTAGAATAGTGTTGATGAGTGGTTTTAGTTTTAATTTACTACAAATATTACACAGAATACTAACAGTTATTGTCAGTGCTACTTTGCTTATGTATGAGCTCTCACCTTTTCTCCCCCTGCTATTTATTTCTCTGTCTGAATTTGTAATTAATTAGGATGCAGGCTGATTGCTTATAGTACCTGGAGTATCTTGTGTCCAGACAAAGTAAAAGAATCCTTACGGATATTCAGTACTAAGGAAAATACATTAGGGCGTGTTTGAAGTTGTGGGGATCATTGCTGAGGGACAGGGATGGGATTAAATAGTCCTTGCATGGATGAGAATTAGAGTGTTAATGTTAATCTGTTTGGATAACTTTTAGTTTTGGATCATGTGGTGTTGAATTGAATAGCACCTGGTATTGCGTACATGGGAGAGCGGACAGGGAAAGGTTGAGCAGGAATTCTCATCCAAAAGGCAGTGAACAGCCTACACATGTCCAAGCACTCTTGTAGCTGTGGTAATGCCCGTGCTGAGAGCCCCAAAGTCTTTTGAACGAGAGAGGCTGTTTTCCAGAAAGCTTCTTGGTGTGCACTGGGCTCTATGCTGGCACCTGTGCTAACAACAGGTCAGTGAAGGGCCAGGTCAGGAGCAAGGCAGCCTCCCTGCTGGCAAAACCAGCCAGGAGCCAGCGGAGTTGCTGTGCAGAGTCCCAGGTTTAGCTGGGAAATGGTTGAATTAAGGCCACACTACTTCATAACCCCTGATGTTACACGGTGTGTAAGTTTGCTTCATGCTTCCCCAGCAGCTCTTTTGCAAAGCCTCTGAGATTCACCTGATCTTGAATGATGAGCAGACAAGCTGCAAGCTACCAGCGCTGATAACCCTGACACCTTCAACAGCATATTTGATTTCTTTGCTCTGCCTGTCCAGAATTCAGAGGAAAAGCTGCACAAGCCTGAATGGATGAGTGGATGCACCATCTTCAACACTGGTCCTCCTCTAGTCAATCTCTTTCTGTGTCCTGTTTCAAAAAAGGAAGGGGAAGCTAAATGGTGGGCACACTCATGGTTAGAAGTTGTATCTGCCTTTATTTCGAATAAAGGGTTCTGTCACCCTTTATTTCAAATAAATTTGAACCAGATGGGGAAAATAAAAATATGCAGCTTTTAAATTTCTATTGTACACTGAAGGCCAAGTGTACGTGTAGATGGAGTATCTGTTAATTTGCCTTAAAAAAAAAAGAAAAGCCAACAAAATATTACCTGGAAAAAAGCCAGCCTTCATGCTTTTCATAAGATGTGGTGCAAATCCTTCAGAAATCAGCATCTGCCCCATAAATAGACTGGACTTTCAGGAGAGAAAATAAGTGAGCAGGGTCAGCTTGCAATTTGTCTCTCACTTCACGTCACAAGGTTTTTCAGTACGAGTGAAGACAGGAACAGAATCTCAGCAGAAGTCAGTGAGTCCAAAATGGATTACACAGAGCAGAAGTCCAGCCCCTGTTTTCCTAATCCATAGGAGAAGGAGAATCTGTCAAAGCTGGTTGGCCTGCCATCCAGCATGTATTTCCTGTGCCTGGCTGTAATCTTGGGATGACTTTTGCTGGCACATTTTTGGAATCACAGGAAGGAAAATTTTGACCAATATTTTCACTTTTGCCTGGTTTCTCTGCTTGTAAGAAAGTTTATAAAGGTTTGTTTTATAATAGCTTTATTCTTGGTCTGTGATGTCAAAGAAACAAGCAGAAAATTATAGGATTTTTTGGTGGAAAATTGCTAACAGTTTTAGATCAGTGGCAAGACTTGGTTTCAGTAAGAGGAAAGGTACCAGGATGTGGATGGTGCTGAGATCAATGGAATCCATTGCAGTTCCTCTATTCCATACTCCAGCATCTCACCCAATGGGTCTTTATTTGAACCTGGAGTAACTTTGGGGAAGGGAAGCATGAAAGTAGGTGAAGCATTAAGACAGTGTTGTGCTGGTGCTGGCAAAAGCACATCCTGTTAGCTTTATCTGAGCTGAGAATCTGATCTAGGCTCTGCTACCATGTGTCATCTCTAAAGAAGAAACAGTGGCTCTTGGCTATACAGAATGTCCTGAGGTCAGTCTGAGTCTGCAGACAACAGAATTATTTTCCTCTTTCATTTCTTCCAGTTGCCATTTCCTGATTTAGAGAGAAATGGTAAATCTCAGGAGAAAATAATTAGCCGTATACAAATCAGTGTGTTTGCATGCAACCAAGTGTAATTTACTGATCAGGGAAATAGCAGGGCCACATGCCAGCAAGAAAAACAGTCAAGCAGTGGCTGTTTCAAGCTGAAAAGTAAAGGAAAGGAAGAATTCTGTGGGTTCCACAAGGTGTTAGTCTGAATTTGAGTCCTGCTATTACTCCAAATTTATGCTATTGACTTTGGAAGTGAAACCAGGACCCCAAACCATGGGTTATTCACCCCGAAACAGCGAGAACATCTATGCAACATACCTTGTTTGCTCCTGTGTGCTTCACTGTCACATTGACTCAATGCTTTGTTGCTGGTTTCCAGGTCAAACTACAGAAGGCTGGAATGCAACCCAGCAGAAGTATACATTTGGTAGGCATTCAAGGCCAGCTTGGATGGGGCCCTGGGCAACCTGATCTGGTGTCTGATTTGGTGGCTGGCAACCCTGCCTCTGGCAGGGGGTTTGGAACTAGCTGAGGTTGAGGTCCTTTCCAACCCAAACCTTTCTATGATTCTACAACACCAACAGTTGGGGTTTTATTTCATTTCTCTCAAACATCATAGGATGGAGCTGATCTAAACCAAAGTTTTCTCTGTCATTTTCTCTTCTCAGTTTTGGGTTGTGTTGCTGTAGCTGTCTGTATCAGCAGCACCCCAGGCAGTCTGTTACCACTGACACTTGGCCTCTTGATGATGTGCTTGGCTGCTAAAGCATCCAGAACTGGGAAATCACTGTCCAGTAGCGAGGAGGAGAGTCTGACTTTCTGAGGCTGCACTGGGAGTTTATGGATGCATTTCTCTCACTCGTGTTTAAGAAACTCACTGACTGGTAAGTCTTTCCTCCTACCAAGGTTCCTCAGCTTCCTTCTATCCCGTAAGTAGCTGGAACTTGTATTGGCATGGTGCAGTTAATGGACGAAGCTTTCACATTTCCTTTGCTCAGGGCTGCTTACCTGTGTGACAGGTTCTTGTTCTCCCCCATCTGTTGCCCTTGTTTGTACAGAGCAGTCATATAAAAAAGGTCTTATGCTGTTGACAAAAATTCATAATTTTGTTTGCACAAACATTTGCCACATTTTCCTTCAGGCTGTTTACTCAGTATTTGCTAAATAAGAGGGTAATTGTTATTTCAGGAAGCAGCCTACAATCTCTTTGCAAGGGTACTGCATATCTGCTGTGGAAACGAAGATCACATTTGCCCCAGTGCACAGTCATTGCTTTATTAGCAGATGTCACTCACCAAGATATTCCTTTTGTTTCAGGTTTGGTGTTATGAAACAGTATGCTTTAAGATAATCACTATTGGAAAGGAGCAGCTTGCTTCACAGTCAATGACTTTGATGCCTTGGGTTGTTCATGTATGGATCTGCCTCTGTCTTGCCTTGATTGACAAGACCCTTTCTATAAATCTGTGCAATTAAGCAGCTCCATAGCAGCTGCGAAGGAGATCTAGTCAGCAGAAACCTGACAAAAATTGCTGTGCAGATCTCTTGCTGCTCCTTCTGACATCCTGAAACACCATCTGCAATTTAAAGCTACAGAAGGCGATCTGACTCCAACAAGTTGGGTGAGTGTGCTTCTGTGTTTGCTTTGTGTCACAGCTCTGGCTCATGAATAAAGCAGTAGGTTTTTGCTAAGGTGGTGAAGAATAAATGTTCAATTTTTTTGGAAGGTCGTCTCTTTGCTCTTAAATGTCTCTATTAAACATAAAGAAATTTAGCTTTCTTCTTTAATTGTTCAAGCTTGTAGGTCAACGAATATGAAGGGTTCACTGTGGCAAACACCACGACCATATACTGATCTAGAATTCCAGTTTAGCTAATTTAAATCATGTAGTATAACAGGAGCATAGAGATACAAGATAAAAATCTATCCTCAGCGCAGGGCTGCAAACCATGTCCAGTAGGCAACCTTCTCCCTCTAAGTTAAATGTCAAGTCTGGGGTTTCTAGGTGGATTTAAATGCAAGGCAAGTATATGAGGTATAAAGTGGATGTGATGGCTTACAGCTTGAGGTACATTCCATTTCTTTCTCTTTTTGACAATTTTGCAAAGAGACTGATTGCTTTGTTCATCAAAGGTTTGAGATTGAAAGGCAGCAAGTACCAGAGGGATTTGACTGATGGTGGCTGTTTAGAGGGCCTCCTTTGGTCACCTTGGCCACATCCATCCCTATCGAACCTGCCCTGCTCACTGGCTTGGTGGAGTTAGATCTTGACTGGTGGTGGTGAGTGCAAGAAGGGAAAAAAAGGGCTGCATTCATGACCCAGCGTCTGATGAGTGCTGGGGTACTGGTGTTGGCAGCACCAATACTGCTTTTAGGAGTTGCTGACCTCTCTATATTTGTGCAGTGAGATGGCAACCAATACTCATCACTTATGGCCTGGTGCAAGCTTAGGGAACCCTAACTGATAGGAAGGCATTTGCTGCATGATAAGCTTGCAATTTGGAGATTTCAGTGGCCACTGCATTCAGGCTGCTGCAATAAGACTTTTCCTTTCTGGCAGCAGGTAACCCCTTATCTTCTGTCTTCTCTTGAGCTGAGTGAAGATGAGGAACACTGTGCCCAAGGGGAAGAAGGGGCATCACAGCTCTTGGGCTGAATCCACGCACTTGGGGCTTCTTGGCCCCTGCATCATGCCACCATCTTGGCTCTCCCAACCCTCCTCTCCCTTCTACCTCAGAATGAAGCTCCCCTGTGTGACCCTGGGTGCTCTGCTCCTCCTGTTGCTGGCTGGCCATGGAGGCACGGAGACCTCTGCTATCGACCTGCGCACCTTCATCGGTTGTGCCGTGCGTGAGTTCACCTTCGTGGCCAAGAAGCCTGGCTGCAAGGCACTGCGGATCACCACGGATGCGTGCTGGGGACGCTGCGAGACCTGGGAGGTGAGAGTCTTTCCCTGAGAAAAAAGCATTGAGCAGTGAGATAGTCAAGGACCGCGTGCTGCTCTGAGATCCCACTGCAGCGCTTTGCTGCAATTGGTTCCCTCCCTCCTTGTGCTGTCTCAAAGGGGATGAACCTTGTGTGATGATATTAATGAAGTGCTTACGTAATACTCTTATTATGCAATTTGAAAGCCTCTTAAAGCTCGAACACTTAAGGAGAGGAGGCCTTTATTACTTTACTGGAAGAAAATTCCTTTGAGATTAAGGTGGAGCCCTTGGTTGGGGGGGTAATATATTTTATTCCAAAACAACAGATGCCAAAGATAATGTCTGTTTCTAATTTGGGCTTGTTTTAAATCACAGTTCAATATGAAGTAGTTATGCTTTGGGGGTGTAGAGGGGCAGAAAGAGAGCACGAGTCTGTACACACTTCAGACAGCAAGTTGCTGACTCTTATGGCCTTTCTGTCACTGAATGGCTCAAGGGGCCAAACCCGGTTTAATTTATTCAGGGAAGTTCTAATGACTGCAGAGTGAAATACCACAGGGATGTAGTTAAGCTGAATGCATCTGGCTGCAGGCTCAACAGCTTTTACAGAGCCTCATGGTGTGCTTGGGTGGAGGAGCTGGTAAGAGGGAGGGTGTCTGGATATCTTCTTGCTGAAACATGGCATCTGTTCTTTTCTGTGCCATCATTCTCTGCTCCTGGGGCAGGCTTTTCACACAGCATAGACAGAAAGAAAGAAAATGCTTAAATGTCTCCAGGCTGTTTTACTTCAGGCTGTTTCCCATCTGTGTGAGGGAGAGGATTGTAGTGGGCTCCCTCCAGTCCTGTCTTTAGAAACAGGTGCTTCCATTGGGGAAAACATCACTTTTCAGCAAAATCCATGCCACCCATAGTTCCACGTGGGAGTTTGGTGTTCAGGGCCTTCAGGATACTGTCTTTTTTTGTTGGTTGAGGTTTCTGGCCAAGCTGTTCATCTTATGAAAAACTGCGGGCCTCAGTGCTGCCTGCAGTGCTGCCAGGTGGACTCCCCATGGCATGTATCTGCTGGGCTTTGCAGGGCGTACAATCTGACTGCTGCTGTTTCCATGGCCCCTTCCATCTTGATCCAGTGGCTCTGCTGTTTATTCCTCTTGAGAAAACCAGGAACCCTGATGTTTGTCTCGCATCATGCCTGATACCGTCATTTCTCACCCACAGAGGCCAATACTGCAGCCGCCTTACATTGAATCTTACCACCGTGTCTGCACCTACAATGAGACCAAGCTGGTGACAGTGATGCTGCCCAAGTGTGCCCCTGGAGTGGATCCCTTCTACACCTACCCAGTTGCCATACGCTGCAACTGTGACTTCTGCTCTACGGCCACCACTGAGTGTGAGACTGCCTGAGCTCTCCTTCCCCAGGTCAAGTTCCTCCCTGGCTCTACACCCCTGCTGTCTCAGAGGGTGTGGGTCAGCCCAGAATTTGGTCTCACCATCTAATGCTCCTAATCATCAGCTTTTCTGGCAGATGAGGTTTAGTTCCCTCTTCCCTTTCTGTAGAAATGTAGAACGCAGCCTTATAATAGCAAATCCTATGGAAGAAAAATTGATGCTGTTTCCCTTCCTTCCAGGCTCTACATAGAGTGGGACCTTTCTTCATGCACAAAGTGCACATGGACTGAATAGTCACAGAGGGGTTGGAAACAGGCCATAAATGCATGACAGCCAGTAGAACAGCCTTTATTCTTTTTAGTTTTAGTACCTTCCCACTAATGTAAGAATTACCAACATTTCCCCCTCTTGCCCCTTCTGCTCTTCTTACGCTGAGATCTGTCAAAAATATCTGTCAAGGAAAAGGCTGTACAGACAATAAAATGGAAATGGGTATCAAATCACAAACTTGAAATTACACCCTAAGCCCTAACTCAGCCAATGAGACCAAGCTGAGCTCTCCTTCCCCAGGTCAAGTTCCTCCCTGGATCTACACCCCTGCTGTCTCAGAGCATGTGGGTCAGCCCAGAATTTGGTCTCACCATCTAATGCTCCTAATCATTGGCTTTTCTGGCAGATGAGGTTTGATTAATATCTGTGGACTTACAGCTAAGTGCGTATTTCAGTGATTTGCTTAATTGGAGCATTTCTGCTGAAAAAAATCTTGCCTTACAAGAGATGACTTCTTAAAAAGCAGAAAGAAGCACATTAAATGTGTAATGCTTTTGTCCAGGACTGTCCAGAAGAAGAATTGGCTTCATGTAAAACCAGAGAGGCTCTGCACAACCCTAAAGTCCTCTCTTGACAATTTCCAGAGTTAGAGGGACCAAGCCAAAATGTAGTGCTTGTGGTTCAGTTTCAGCAAGCCTTGGCCAAGGTAATGGGAAAGAGGGGGCTATGGGGGTGTTTCCCACACTTCCCTTCACTGCTCAACCAGACAGGGACTTGCTTCTCAGGAGATGCACAGAAGGCAGACAGAAGTGCTCATGGGAGGGCTGAGGAGTTGTCTGATAGCAAATAATGCAGCCAGCACGGGTGGGACAGGCCCAGGGCAGGGAAAGCAGCAGACATGCCAAAGGCTGGTCCACACCACCTTCTTCAGAACCACTGTCTATAGACTGGGGGATGCATGGGAGCTGCTGCAGCATCCCCCCTCTGGTGACCACAGCTGTGTAAGTGCCTTAGTCCTCCAACTCTCACCTGGAGGAGGACAGATTCATGTTCATCCCTCATTTCTCCCCCCTGAACAAAATAGGAAATGATGTGAAAACGTCAAAATTTGGCCAAGTGCAAGAGAGTCACAGGAGCTTACAAACAAAGACAACTCAGATAGCCATTAGCAGAGAACTGCTGCTGAGAGAATGTCAGCACCTGCCTTCCGCTCTGATTAAGTGTCTTCTGGATGCAGTTCCTCCATTCCCACAGTTGTGTGCCTGAAACTTCCCCAAGTGCCTTATCCTCCTTGAGACAGATCTTTTTGTTTTCAATCTGATCTGCAATGTATTAGTTGCTGTCATGTTTTGTCGGTGGAACTGTGAAAGTTGCCCTGTGGCTAAGTGGAAAGGAGAACATTTTATCATCTGCCTTCAGTAGCTCTGAATTCCATGTCAAACAGCAGCAGAAGCAGTTTTCTGGTGATGGTGAGTTTAACTGCCTTTAAGGACCTTAAAAAAGTCCTTCTGTTTTCTTTCAAATTGCATCTCTCTAATCTTGTTATTGTTTTAAGCAGCATCACAACTATTATGGAAAACCTACAAATTATTTTGTGTCCTTAATAAAACCCCCATATTGTATTATGGATGCAATTTAAATCAATGAGTCCTTCTTTATTGATGCATAAAGCTTTCTCACACAGAATATATGTCAGCTCCTACAAACTCTTTGCCAGAGCTGTGAACACCTGCAAAACATCTCCTCGATCCTAATGCAAAGTCATTTCCTTTGCTGGATTTCTCTTACAGAGTCTGGCTGTGTCATAATTTTAGGATTAGAAATGGGATTCCAAAGTGACAACTTCCTTCCATTGCAACAAGCGAGAAATACAGGCTGTACCCAGATATGGTGAGGCAGTAGAAACCTTAAGCAAGTGTTTGGAAGAAAACACTGCACGATGTGAAGGATGGTTTTGATTGATGTAGCAGAATCCAGACTTGGGAGGCGGAAGGGGAGGTGTGGGAAGAATGTATTGACTGAATCTCAGCTAACACTTCTGGATGGTCTTTTATGGAGAAGAGCAAAAGTGAATGGAGATGCTGTGGATTTATTGTGAATGTACATCCTTTCATACAATGATAGAATCAGAGAATGGTTTGAGTTGGAAGGAACCTTACACACTATCCAGTTCCAACTCTCTGCCATGACTAGGGGCACCTCTCACCACATCAGGCTGCTCAGGGCCCCATCCAACCTGGTCCAATATAAATGCCCTGGATGGGGCATTTACAGCTTCTCTTCATTCTTGTTGCTGGTCATTGCAAATCTCAGGCTTTTTTTTTTTTTAGGTCTTATGCTAGTAGGTCTTCATTGTGGTAAATTTTCACTAATTTTGATACTTGGAATCATTGATTACTCCCTTCACCTGAACACCGACCAGAAGCACCAGGCAGAAATCTTCATAAACTGCCACGAAGACCACTTGAAAGGTTTAATCTGTCATGACTTCCACTACCTAAAACAAGAGAAAGAAATCATGCCCTACGTGTAGAAGGGAACTTGATGTCCCTGTGAGAATGGTACTTGCAGAGCTGCCAGAGAGAATGCCTGAGTGTTGAGCCATTCCCAGCTTGAAATACTGCTGCAGCCAAAGAAGGAAGGTGGTTGCACCTACTTGCTGAGAAAGGAGAAGGTGCAAATATGGAAAAAGCATGACTGTACAAGTTGGATCTCGGCACTGCCATCAACACGCCAGGTGAGAAGGGGCAAACCAGTGGAATTATCTGTGCCTCAGTTTCCCTTCTGGACAGTGGGAGTGACAGCCATTTTTCTTCCCCCAGTGCATTTTGGAGAAGGCTGTGTCTCTCTTGTTCCCTCTGCTTCTTGGATTTGTGTCCTTCTTCCAATGTGAACAGCAGTAATTGCAGTCACGCAGTGCTTTCATAGAATCATAGAATCACTTAAGTTAGAAAAGACCTTAAAGATCCTCGAGTCCAACCACACTATACTACCCAACCAACTATACTACCAACCAACCAACTATACTACCCTAACTAACAACCCTCTGCTAAATCATGTCCCTGACCACCACATCCAAATGGTTTTTAAACACGTCTACCTCCCCGAGGAGCCTATTCCAGTGCTTAGCAACTCTTTTTGTAAAGAAGTGTTTCCTGATATCCAACCTAAACCTCCCCTGGTGCAACTTGAGGCCATTTCCCCTTGTCCTATGCAATTTGCTTTAGTCCAGTCAGAGGTGGGAGTACTGCTCAGGAATGGTGGTGGCTATGGTCTCAATTTGAAGACTAGACTAGCTGGCTGATGGAATAGTTTCTGGTGTGGAAATGAAAAGCTGGGTAATGAAGACAGCATCTCCCTTATTCCCCCCCCCTCCTTGATATTTTGTGTTGAGTTTTGAGAAAAGAAGAGCTAGTCATATTCTTCATTCCAGTGCTGCCTTTAAGGACTATCTTTCCTCATGTAATTTTTTCAGCCCTCTAACCACTGTCCTTTCTTTCTTGCCTCTCCCTGTCTTGTCTCACATCTGAGCCAAGTGTTAGGCAGCTCATCATCTTCAGTGCCACTGCTATGGGTTTGTTTGAAGGTTTTGTTGTCCACACGTTGGGTTTGTTAGATGGTTACAACCTCCTCTCAAAGATCCCAACACTTGGGTTAATGCATTTCCTAGCTGCTTTACCAAGAGAGCTCCTGCGTCTACAAGGCCAGAACATACTGGCTTCTCTCTAAAACACTTTAAATACTCACTCAGGGGAGAAAAAAAAATTTTGTTGGTGCTGTGGTATTTTAGTGGAGGCCACAAACAACAATGCCAAGAACCTTTTATCTAGAGGAGAATAGAAAGTAACATTTGGAAGAGCCACAAACCAACTACATCAAGCCCCCACTTCTCCACCTTCCTTTCCATAGAGAGTTTGGTTAAGGAGCAGTTTCCTGAAAGGGATGTGCCTGAGACTTCTCAAAGCTCTGTACCACCAGTGTCACCTCCTGTTAGAAGTTTTGCATTGTTGGAGGGGAGACAGGAAGCTGCAGGTTGTTCCAGGACCATGCAAAAGCAATTGTATGTGTCAGGGTGTGTTTTCCCTGTCTGATAAGCTTCTGGGACAACAGGTAGAGCAGCACACCTTCTTCAAATGATGCTGTCAAAATACTTAGTAATACATTTATTTTGTTAAAATAAACTATGTACAGTAGAGGATATTAATGTGCAGTTACAATATACAATAATTACATGTTTAAAAAAGATAAGCTAAAGAGTACAGAATCGTGCTGTAAATAGGAAACTAATACTGTTCACATCGTTTTTAAAATATGCAAAACAATTCCTGGAAAAATGATTTTCCCTGGTTTGAAATTTTATTGCTTTGAGTTGAATTTCGAAGATTTGGTTCATCTTTGAAAAGGCTTAACATCACTCAGAAGTCAAACACAGCTTTCCAGTATTTGTTCTTTGGTTTTACCACCCCTATACTCCAGAGATATTGCACATAGCAACTTGTAAGAGAGAAATTCTATTGCTCACATCAAGTAAATAACTGTTTTTTCTTAATATTCTAACAGCTGATGGTGCTGCGTTAGGTCCTGATTTGGTCTGAAGTCATTGCATTTGTTTCACAGTCAAACTCAGTGTGAATAAATTGTTGCACTGGTACTCTAAGTATTGCTGAGGTGTTATGGAAAAGGGAAGAAAAAAAACGTTCTCAGGGAAGCAGGGAGTCTCTATGCAGTGAAATGCCTGTACAAGTGCATCAACATCATAACAGATTCAACTGGATTCAGTCATCCTTGCACTTAAGGACAGTTCAGGTCTGTCTCCCTGCTCCTCCACCCTGCAGCCTTCCTCTTGGAAGCTCTCCCAGTCACAAGGTGCTGCTGAACTCCACGAGTCCCACTGTGACTCCACGAGGGTACCTCCAAGCCCTGTCCATGGGCCATGCCATAGGGACGAAGGCAGGTGACTTGTGCCTTCCACCTGACAACCTGGCCTCGCTTCCTAAGGTCACTTTTACTCATGAGTGAATTAGTCTTGGCAGCTGTAGGTTAGTGCTTGTTCATGAATTAATATTTACAAGTTTGTTGAAATTTTGGGCTCATTTACTCCATACTGGCAGGACAGTTCCATGTCCTGCCAATTCAGTAATGCTGGTAGAGCAGCTGCCTCCTTGGGGCAAGTGTGTTGGGAGAGACGGTGTGACAGTCACATGTGGATAGGGCTTACACTCAGACTACTTTGGAAGATATCAGACAACAGTTTCTACCAGTACAACAATTTCTATCAGTACAAATAACTGTTGTGCCGGAAGATCTGAAAACTGCAGACTTGTGGCAATAGTCTGCTGTGAATTCATTAACCTCTGATCAAAGTCAAAATTTGCCAGTGATGACATCGGGGAGAGCTCAAACTGATCATCGACAAAACCAATCCAAAATTCAATCTGGCATCCTGAATGCTACCATTCCACTGGGATGAAATGAAATTTAATGACAGCAATGCGTGCAGTGTCAAACTCAGCAAAGAAAACCTGTTTGTCTTGGTATTACCCTGTTAATGTAATCATTTTCACCTTCAGCTTCACTGATGGTTGAAAACAGGAGTTACAAATCCCATCTCCAAAGCTTGAGCTAAAGATCAGATCAGCAAAGTCTTCTGATGCCTAATTTCTTTAGAGAGTAAGCAAACAGCAGCCAAGAGGTACAAAAGATTCTTGGACCTGGTTCAGTATATTGGTGTTCTCAAGTCTTTTTCAGTCACACACACACACACAAAAAAAAAAAAAGGACAGAAAAAGAGGAAATACAAAGAGACTCAAATGCTTTCCACATTTGTCATACGTGGAGCCCACTGAAATCTTCCATTGTCCTCACAAGAATTGAAATGAAGCCAGAACACTGCATCTTTGAAAATCCCGTCCTGAAATTGGAGTTGGAAGAAGCGGCCAAACACCGCATTATGGTGCTGGAAGGACGGGGGCATCATGCTCAGTGTTATTTCTGTTAATAGTATTTTCAAAGGCAAAGGGATTTTTCACCACTGACAGCAATTCATACGAGTTTTTGCTTGTTGCTCTGTGATAGATGGTCTTGTGAGCTGATTTGGCTCTTGCAAAGGGTTTTTGACTCTAATTTGAGGCTGGGGATCCTGGAACTACCCAGGAAAAATATATTCTTGCTCACAGATTTCTGAAAGCTTTAACTGAAGAAAAGAAAGTAGAATGAAAATAATAATAATAATTTTAAACAAATCCTAATTATGGGCATCCCCTTAACATCTTAAAGTGAAATTTCATCATGATGTGGCTCTGGGTTCTGATTTTGCAGCTCTCCAATTGAGCAGAAGAGAAGATGCTGTTCTTCTGTCACATTCATTCATCCTAATCTGTATTTTTTATCCAAACTTTCTCATTTGAAAATGTTTCTATTTGTGTTTGGTTTCATTAGGTGAACAGAGATGAGATCACCAGCCACTACTGAAATTGCTGGGAGGCTTTTTCTTGCCCTCACAGGGTCTCTATTCACCAAGAGAAAAACAGGCATTTATAGCTGAGTTATCTCCACTTTTACTTAGAGCACAAATGTATCTGGAATTTATTAGACAGAGGTTGGACCAT